CCCCCCCCCCCCTTTTCCATGCAGCCCAATCAACTAGTGCTATGCATCTTTATTTTTCTCAATATAAAAGATTTTTATTTTATTAAAAATAAAGAAAAATGAGATCCCCCCTTCCTCTTCTTTCTCCTGACCCCCTCCTCTTAAGGAGGCTTTCGGGAGGCTTACACCTCACGCCTCTAGGTAATGGAATGCCTCGCATCACGCCTCTGCATTTTAAAACATTGCTCAGGTCCTAGACTTGAACATTTTTGTTAGATTTTTTTTTGGTAAATAATAATCTACATTTGGTATGGTATGCTCCATTTTGTTGATGTTATGCTTGACTACATCCTTGTATTCAATGTTGTTCTGCTCATCATCATATGATCTCCAAGATTGTGGTCCCATGCCTAGGATTTGGCATATTGTAAACCCTAATCTGAAACTTCCTCATGCAAATCCAACTTTCTAACTCATTTTATTTGGGAAAAGCTTGGGCTTGTAACTTGGAATTTTAGTATAGTAATTGTTTCGAAATGATGGGCCACTGTTCTCCAAGTCATTCTATTATTGAGTGGATCAACTATTACAATTAGTGATGCAACTCAAGTGGGTTGGGCTGCGATTAAGGCAATCGAAGCCCAACACTAAAAACTAGGGCCCAGGCTTGAGCCCATCCTAACTCCAAAGTTAAAGCCCAAGTTCGGGTTAGCAAGAACTTGGCACTTGGGCCTCTCTTCCTTTTGTCATAGAGGAATTAGAAGTGATAGAATAATCTAAGAATATTGATTGTTATGGTGAAGATCATTCTCTTCAATCTGAACATGATATTTTGGATGAGTTAGATGAGTAAGGAGTGTTTAGACAGGTTGTTGTGAAGGTGTGCTCAGTTGTTTTATTTTGGAGAAGTCATTATATGTGATGCTTATGGCATGTAGCTGCATAATCATTCAATACTGATGTTAGTCTTTGGTCTTATACTCTTATATCTTTTCTGTTTACCTTCAAATTCTGATGAAAGGTTGGTCTGTTTGAGTAGAGTTTCAAGAGTAGTTATGTGGGTTGTAGTCGTTGCATAGGAGTGGTGAGCAAGATGTTTGTAGTTTTTTAACTGTAAACTACAATCCTGTTTGAGATGTGGAGAGATCTCTATATTTAAGCTGGGGCTGCAATTCTCATATACCACTTGTATACCTCTTTTTCCTCTTTTGTAAAATTTTGATTTTGTTATAAAAAAGCTACAGCCTAAATTTTCCCATCCAAGTCCAGCTCAAGCTAAACCCAACGCCATTCAGGCTTGGCTTGGACTCTGTGCACGGTCAGGCAGGTTTGGTTGATGTCTTTCTGAAAATTAGATAGTAGGAACATGGGTGTATCGATACTTTGAACCTTAAAAATTTTCACAGGAGGTTTAATTTTTTGTTATTTAATTATTAAAAAATGACTTCTTTAAAATATCTTAAAAAGGGGTATTGGTACCCAAAAATAAGATACATATTGTCTTGATACTTAACTTTGAGTAGGAATACTGGAGTAGGAAATGAAATTATTTTGTGTACATTGACAGAGTGGGATGAAAAGGAGGAAGGTAAAGGAGCAACACAACAGTGGGAAGATGACTGGGACGATGATGATGTCAATGATGACTTCTCTTTGCAGCTGAGAAAGGAATTGGAGAACAATAGTGAGAAGAAGTAAATCTAGAATCCAGCTTCATCCTTTCCATTATTCCTTCTCTCTCACAATGTGTTTCTGGAGGCTTAAGCTCTTTATCTTCTATAAGCATCTAATGAAAGTTTTAACTTTTAAGGTCTTGTATTTTCTGACTGAAGTCCTCCATTTTAATAGAGTTCTCTTCAACTTTAGATGCACATGGCAAAGTGCCAACTGGCTAGTTGGTAAGCTCTCTGGCTGCTTGTAGCAGAGACTTAGGATGAATCCCGCCAGCACTGGGGTTGGGGAGGTCATGGATTTGGGGGATGCCTACTCCCTTTGTGTTGTGTAGATAGGAGATTAAACAAAAACAACTAATGTTGAAACCTTAATTTACTGTCTGTTTCTTTGGATCATGCCCTAATCTTACTTCAAACTGATCATCAAAAGTTCTCCACAGGTGCATAGGATATAAATGTACATGGATTTAAAAGTTAGCCTTAATTATTTAAGGGTAAATTTCTGAAACCTTCCCTTAAAGTTTTTTGATGGTTGCTGAAATCTCTCCAGAAATTTAGTAATTGCAATCACCTTTCCTGAACTTTCCCCTTTTGGTAGAATCTTCCAAAAAAACATGAAAATGTCTAAAATATCCATGCAGTTACTATTGAGGTTGGTTTCTGCAGGGAAAAAACAATACATACTTTATGAACAACAAAACAAAGATAATTTAAAGTTGCATCTTTACTTTTGAGTGATTGATATGAAGGGCCAAGTTGGAAAATAAATCAATTTCAGAAAAGAGATTGAAAGGGTTGAGTAGTGATTCATATGAAGAGAAAATTTGGAAAATAAATACTTTTGTTAAAAGTAACTGCATGGGTATTTTGGACATTGTCATGCCTTTTTTTAGAAGATTCTACCAGAGGGGTCTACTTGCAATTATATCAAAAAGTTTAGGGGAGGTGATTATAATTACCAGACTTCAGGGAGGTTTCAGCAATTTACTCAAATATACTCTATGGATTCACTAAACTACTTAAATGTATCCTATGTTTTCCAAAATTAAAATATATCAGGTGGCCGCACTTGACACAAATAGGACTTTCTTAATAAAATGTTTTGAGTAATTTGTTCTTTGGTCTTCGATTGTCAAAAATGCTCGACTGTTTGTGTTTTGTTAAATTCTCAAAATATGCCCTTTACTACTTCACCTGCTTCTCTCTCTCTCTCTCTCTCTCTCTCTCTTTTCCGTTAAATTCTCAAAATATGCCCTTTATTATTTAATTATTTTGTTGACTAAAGGGGCTGTTTGATAACAGCTGAGTTACTGAATTGAATGACTTAATGCTGTCTTTTTGATAAAATAATTAGATAATTAATTTTTCAAGGGTAAGGTGATCTACCCAACTTCATTTTCAGCCATTAAAGAACCCACAACCTTCTTAAAAATTTATTCACTAAAATACAAAGAAATAAGCTTTTTAATTCAGCTATTACCAAACAATCTCTTAGAGACAATAATGATGATTGAAAAATTGAAACTGAGGACATAAAAAAATACCCCTAAATAAATTCCAAGAAAGGTATGAAATTGCTAGTTTGGGAGGGATAAATGACATTTTGTTGGTTCTTTAACCATGTGCAGTGAGTATCAAATAACATATCTAGAAACGGAAATTAAAGGAAGAAATTAATGGTTTTCAATCATACTATGAACTCAAAAGCCCTATGCACATATGGGTTGGTACTTTTCAATATTTACAATCCAAATTTTAATATAAATCCAATGGATAAGATTTCATTTGAATTTGAATATAAACAAATTAAATTTGGATCTATCTATGTCAAATTCAATTTGATGAACTTACAGACTACCCTTTTAATAATACCAATCTTAGGTCTTGAAATAATATATATCCAAATTTAGCAATGACATGAGTTGCATGATTCCCTGTACAAAGGGGTCAAAATTTTGCACAAAAAAAAAAAAACACCTACAATTGGCAAGCACTATGTTGAATGTGTTTGAATTTGTTCTCAAAGAGTAAGCCTCACACCAATCTCATAACACGTCACAACCATGCATTGAAATACTTTCCATGAATGACAACTGTGTGGCTACAAGTGGTGTGAGGTGCACTTTTGGAGGAGTAAATCCGGACTAATGTTGAATGACCAAGGAACTTCCAGTAAAGAAATAATTTTTATCCATCTCTTTCAATTAAGTTATGTTTTTTATTGAAAATAAGAAAGAAATAGGAAGTTTAGGGAAAGTTATTTACAAAATCCATTCATATAGATGCCCATATTAAGTAGGGGTGATTGGCATCTCCCTTTTCTAATGACCAAATGATCTAAGCATGCGGCTAGCTGCATGTGCAAACCAGTATGGATAAGATTGAGCGTGGGAGAAGTTTGCTATTACATGATGGCCCAAGCCAACAAAATTAAATAATTTTGGTCGTTGAATACATTATTCGCTTTTTTTTGTTCTTCTCATGTGTGCATCTCATATATGAAAAGTAGAATATTTTCCTTTGAGACCCACAAAAAATAATAAAATATTCTAGATTTGTGGTGTAGAGTGCATTTATCATTTCGGAGTACACAAACAAAAAAAAACGTTGTGATAAAATCGTGAAATCACGGCCTTCGATGCATTGTGTGCCTTCTCTTTATGTCACTTCATCCAATTCAAAATGTAGCCACATGTCGTGACTCATGGTTTTAACCCGGTGCAATAGTTGATTTTGGAAGACATGGAAGCAAGTTTGTATCCTAACTTATTTCTTTATTATAAAAAATAATAATTCTTTTTTCGAATCCTTTAAAATAATTCTACCATAGCAGACACACTCGATAGTTGTTGAGTCAATAATAAAAAACAAAAATGATAATTGCTTCAATTAGTTATTTTGAATTTACCAAAAAAGAAATTCATTTATTTATTGTAAAATATTATTTTAATTTATTAATTACTTAAAGTACCCTTAAACTATATGATAAAATACTTAAAACCCCTGAAATTTAAGAACCTACTTAATCAAGAATAACGTAATATATATATATATATATATATATATATATACATACTACCTCTCTATTAGTAGTTGGTCAAATTCCATATACTCTCACTCACCAGTCTCAACCACCTTTCCTCATCAAGAAAAAACCAAATTTTTATTGCATTCACTTCTTCTTCTTTATTTCTTCTTCATTTTTCAATCCAACTTGAAGTGCTCTCTCTCCCTCTCCATAATTTTTGGGTGTTGGCGGGTCACTTGTTTTGGTCAAATGTTGGTTGTTAGGCTTCATGGCACTTTGGAGACTGTAAGAGCCTCTTTAGGTTGGGTTTTGGGAGGATTGTGTTTAGAAAGTTCTGATCCATAAGCTGATCATTTCTTTCACTCAATTGTCTTTTTTTCTCTCTCAATCATTAATTTGGTAAAAAATTTGTGTTTTATGTATTTTGTTTATAATTATTTGGAACTCTCCTCCCCCCAATTTTTTCTATAACAAGTACTTATGCTTTCAAAAATAAATTAAATTAAACATCAAAGCCATTAAGTTTTGGATTGGTTATTGCAATTTTATGACCTTATTTTCTTTCCTTGGATTATTCAACAATAAATGAAAAGCTTGAACTAATCTTGCTTATAGAAAAAGAAAAAGAATGTTCTTAGATTGTAAAATTCAGGCAAGTGAAGAGATACAGTGGGCTGAGTTTAAAACTCAGGTTTGTTATGAGAGACTTGACATCAAAATATAACTAACTATAGTTACTCTTCTAACACCCCATCCCTTCAAGTTGGAGCATGAAGATTCGAAGTCCCAATGAGAAGAAGAGTATGAAACTGATCACTGCTTAGTGACTTGGTTAACAAATCGGCAGGTTGAGCTTTACTGGAGATATGCATAGTAGCAATGTTGCCTTTGTCAATGTGCTTTCTAATAAAATGGCAGTCGATGTCAATATGTATGTTTAGTGTGTTCGTGGAACACCAGGTTAAGTAGCAAATGAAGAACTTCTTTATTGTCACAATAGATTTGCATTGGTTTAGTGACTGGTGTGGCAAAGCCTGATAATAATTGTTGAAGCCAAACAAGTTCAAAGCCAAAGAATAATACCCAACCTCAGCTAAGGAGCAAGAATTTGTGTTTTGTTTCTTGGTTTTCCAGGAAATAGGTGAATCACCTAGCATAATGATGAACATTGTTGTTAAGCGTTGGGTGAGAGGGTAGATGGCCCAGTCAGCCAGATGAGGGATAACCCAGAGGTAACACCATGTAAATTTCTTCATACAAATTTCCATGAAGAAAGGCATTGATTGTGAATAACAAGTCGATGAAGTTCCCAATGGCTAATAGTAGCAATATATAGTAAAAAGATATATATAATAGTGAGTTTGGCTACCAGAGCACAAGTATCATGATAGTCCATGCCTTCAACTTGTGTGAAACCTTTAATTACCAAACGTGCCTTGTAGTCTACAGAACCATCGACGTTATATTTAATCTTGTATACCAGATGTGAAGAGGTCAATCTATCATAGGTAAGGTGGGCAATAATAAGATAAGGTCCTTTGGCTAGAGTAGTTTGGTTGGTGTAGTCCTTGAGGTAAGCAACTGGTTTACATGTGCGTATGGGCCAACTGAGAGGAACTGAGGGGATGTGGTTGGGTGTGGCCCAAGGGGCACCGGAGGTACTAATGGCATCTTTGAACATGTTTGGGTTGCAAGATTGGGCTAAGAGGTGGTTTCACAAGGACTTGTGGAACCATTTGGGATTGATATGGGTTCATTGATGGGATCAAGTAAAGGATTGTCTTCTAGTACAAAAGGGTCTGATGTTGGTTTGAAGGGAAATTCTTCCTCATAAAATGATACGTCACACAATGTAAAAATTCTCTTAGTGGTCAAATCATTCACCTTGTACCACATGCCTCGAATGGCCGGGTCACCAAATTTGTCACTTGGTTTATTGGGCTTATGGGCATAACATAGACAACATAGATGCTTATAATCTGTTGGCCTAAAAAAGAACTCTGAAGGGAGATTTTCCATCAAGAATCGATGAAGGGGTATACTTAATCAAATATGCAGCAATGAGCATGCATTCCCCCCAAAACTGTGTTGGTAATGCGGCTTTAATGTGGATAGCCCAAGCAACATTTGGCAAATGGTAGTATTTACAATCTACAGTGCCATTTTGTCAAGGGGTCTCAACACAAGACCTCTGGTGGATCATACTATGGTGGCAAAGTATTGTTGTACAAGTTCAAAATAAAACTCAAGTCCATTGTCAGACCTGACTTGTTGAACTGAAATACCAAATTGAGTGTGCACCATACACAACAAAAGGAAACCAACATATGGGAAGCCTCAGATTTATTCTTCATTAGGTACATCAGGT